CTGAAAGCAACAAAAATGGTTTGCATGTTCCCAAAATTCATCATTTTTCCCCACCAACAAAGCTAGTTTCCATCTTTAATATTCCTACTTAGCTAAATAAAGTCTTCAAGCGCTGATATAACAAGATATCCCATAGCTCTTATTTATTTGAGTTGAGTTCATTTACAAACAAGAGGTAGTGAGTGTGAGACAGATTACAGTTTAACACTTGGTATTGCATAATTAATATGGAAACGCTGAGACCATAAATTGCACTCACTTCTTCAAGGTCCCTACCCACACATGACAACGCCAGGACAGTAAGAACGCGGATATACATTCGAATCCATGACCCCGCCCAGTGCTCGATCGGACCAACATCGCACACGCCTCAGTCCGCATGATCAGCGTTTAAACCGCTTTAGAGTTTTCACCAAACCTAAGCCATCTTTCGAAAACAGACACTGTTCATGAATTTATCTTTGGAGCCACAAAAACTAAAAACTAAATTATCTACATTCAGGGACCAGCCAAGTGTCAGATCACAGACGAACACATTGCTTTATGTGTTCGCACGGTTGCGTTACTGATAAATGGCTGTCTTCCGGGTTGTAGCGACAAGTAGTCTACTATAAATATACCAGCGTTTCACAGGTCCCTGCTGCCTCCATCATCAGGGCGATGAGTTTACTCATCAACCCAGAAGACAGCCATAATTCGTACTCATCGCCGTGAAAACTTCAAATTCTATGGGTTATTGATATTTTAAGAAATATAACATTAATTTTGTTGATTCGTGTCTTTATATATAATCACACTTTCGGTATGGTTACATTATATTTTAATCTGAAAAATTCCAAATAAAGCTGTTAGATCTTCGCATCTTCAAACGGAGTTCACTGTTGTCCAGGTCATTTTTATCAGCAAAACTATGAACGATTTGATGAGAAATCCAAATTACCAAACAGAAGATAAAGTTTGAACTTCGTGGGGGCGATCGATTTTGCCTGCGGCAAGGAATTTGTTACTTCGGACGGGTTGATTTTGGTAGGCTCACATAAATGTAATCTGTATCTTTTGTTGCTCATGACGTAAACCGCGTGTTTTACATGATTACGTCAGGATTCTCAGAGTGTAACATCTTGCGAAATGCTCCATGATCTGACTACTACATTTATCTTCCCGGCATTGATTTCCTTTATTTGAACCAGCGGTAGCGGTGTCAGGGCAAAGCATTGGGTTCCTTATCGGTTGCCTTCAAGTTTAGGCCAATTGACGCTCAAAAGGAAAATTTCGATTAGATAAAGAGATACGAATTTTGGACCATGTCTTGATACTCTATGGGCCGGTCGAACAAGCAACTATGGCATGCGATATAATTAATTAAAGAATGGCCGAAGATGCAATACGCCTGGGGCATCAGTGCATGACTGGCCTAAGACCCAACAATAACCTCGGATCACAGTGCATCAACGACCTACGTTTTGTAACGTCAGAAATTCTGGAATGTTAGTGTACTCCAAAAAGAACACCTTTCCAAATCTTCCTCTACAGATAGGTTATTCTGTTTCTCGTAATTTTTCTTAGTCACTCGAGACACATTTCAGGGCGCTCCCTTACAGCAGGCAATGAGGTTTTCATTTCAGACCCCAATTCGCAGTTCAGTAGTCATCCTGCCATTTGACATGGCATCACTGCGCAGACCTAACCTCTATCTGAGCGTCGTCTATAAAGTACTAATGAAATATGATACAGGATACAGAAACATGGGGCACGTTGAAGAACAGAACTATTAAACTCGCGTCACAATAAAGCGTCGTTAAACATCTGTGACGCACACTGCCGCATGTACACACACACACACCTCAGCGGCACAATTTTGCAGTTTTACGAACACAACAGCGAAGCTATCTTTTGCCAGAAAACAAAGCAACATTGAAACAATACACATTTCTACACAACAGGTTTTAATTTATCGGGATGGATCGAATCGAACCGAAACAAAGCGTAAATCTTGACGACGTAATGTTGCTACGAACTGAGTCGTGCACTCCTCTGTTACGTGTTTACAATTTCATGACATATATTTCAAGCTTCCTTCTCCGAAATCCTAAAAACCAAGAACTCCACAGGAGTCCAAGAGTTCGAAATTTGAAATGTCAGCGTGATTATAAATGAGGGACTGAGAAGGCTAAATCTTATTTTCATGTGCTATTTCATCTTTCGTCTAATGCTGAATCATCATATAAATATATAAAATGTACATAACATGCCACTGTCTAATTCGAAATGACAAGAGTTATGGCGGTATAAGCATTAAGGGGTAAATGAAGGAAATGCGCTGTTGAAATTCAAGTTCATATTCATTTCGGCTTTAGTAACAAAGAAAAGGGTTAGAGTTGGTAGCCTTTTTACTTCCTAAACTTAGCAATTGTTCGGTTACGCCTAACATCACTGTTATATTGCTACGGGAAATAACCAAAACCACCGAAGCACTTCCGGTTCTTCGGATTTTTATTGACGCTACACAACAATTTTATAGCGAGCAGCGCTCGTTTTCCCGTGCGGAATAATGACAGTTCGCAAGATGCGGTGCCATATTTATATTGAATAATTTATTGCAAAGTTTACATGTGAATTCCAAAGCCACTTTAAAGACACGGGTCGTAACAAAAGACGGCGACTGAATCGAATACCAAGACTTCAAAGGCAACATCGAGGAACACTCTCCACCAGACGCAGCTCGCTTGTAAAATTCAAAGGAAATGTTCTAATCTCGGAGCACGAATTTCCGCATTTCTTTCAAAACAAATGAAGGATTATGACTAAAATGTCGGGAGAAACCAGAATTGCTCATCCACATCAAAATATACCAAAGTGTGGCGCCACATGACATGAAAGAGGGTCGCGGACCACACACTGACTTTAATTGTAATCAGAGAAAAGAAAAGAAAGTTCATGGAGAGATATTAAGACAAAAAAATAATAATAATAACAAAATAATATCTATTATTGTTAGTATTACTGCTCGCAGCTTCGAATGCAGTTAGCAACACGCTAGGTGCATGACAATTGTTCTGATGTGTGTAAGCTTTCTACCCTGTCGACTGATCCATCGTGTCCCTCATGGCTATACTAGCCTGATTATTGCACGAATAGGAATCCGATTGTTTGCAACACAGTCTACAATGTTTACAATACTAACCTGGCGTCTTATCTACCCCGACATCATGAGTACGGATATGTTAAATATACTTACTGCTGTGATTATGGACTTACAGATTGCAACACAAGAACGAGCGGTTTCAATACCAACCTGATGACTAATCCATCACGAAGAAAGTATTTGCTAAACCCGTTTATTGTTCTGATTATGGAAGTTATTGACTGCAACACGAATTACAGACTCACTAGGGATTTGATTTTCCGAAATAATGCACGATGTTTGTCTGAAGTCAGTTTAAAATTCATTAAACTCACATATATTGGACATCTTTCATCGTTCCATTTTTCGTTACAAACATGTTTCAGAAGCTGGTTCTGCTTCAGTCATCAGGTAAAAGCATGAAAACTGATTTGTTTGGTCTCTGGTCAGAGAAAAATATATATCAGCGTCATATAATGTATGTTCCAGCCCTTTACCTGATGACGAGAGCAGAAGCAGTTTAAAAAACGTCGTGCTTTCTAATAAGAAAAAAATTGATAAATATTCAAACCATGTTGGTTTACAGGCTATAATGGTTTAAGACTAACCTAACGACTGTTCTGAGGAGCGTGGATCTCGCTTCGTTGTGGTACGTGATGATGACGCTCGTCGCCGGAAGGTCCGTCCTCCATTTTCGTTTCCGGCACCTGAAATAAGAGTGACAAGAATTTCAATTACGTAAGAAGGCGAATCTCACAGATTTATATCATTCTGCAACTAAAACTGAAAACAAGGAACAAAACTGCCGTAAATGGCACTCACTGAACTCACGGCCCGCTGCCAGAGAACTTGTTGGTTAAAAAACAAAGTCCGGCAAATTCATTTACAAACTAACAATTTCGACATGAAACTTTCTGGCCTATAAAACACAAATATTGCTCTGTCGAGAAACATGTTCAGACTGCTGGCTCCAGTAAAAAGAAGAAATCGGAATTACTTTAATGTAACACGGTTCGGAAAACTCCATAATCGAAGTCCACTGATCCCGACAGGGCACGTGAGAGCAAAATAAAGAGGGTCATCAACTACTTTGCCAAGGAAACAAATAGAAAGTGTCACGCGGAAGAACAAGTAAAGGAAGGGCAGAACGAAGGAAGAAAAGCCGCTGTGCCCGTTACTACTTTCAATTTACATGGAAGATACGGGTTGCACAATAAAAGTTGTCGAACACATTCCATTATTCATTTTGGCCCATATGGGTATATCATTGCCTCTACCTTACATGAAGCTCAAAACCGAAATTCGTCTTATTGTTATTTAAAAATTCAATTTTTACCGCACAGAAAACATAACCTTTCTCAAATAAAAGAAAACAGTTGGCCAATTCTGTTCAAGGAAATACCAGTAATTACTGTTTAGAAAGGTGGCTTGCATCTCAATCGGTTTAAAAAGTGAATTGCAAGAACCTTCGCTTCTGATGTAAAGAGAGAAGATGCAAGCAGCGAAAGTGTAACGTCGAAATAATCCAATTCAGGGGATACATAACCTTAGCTTTTGGGCTGACGGCACTGGTTTATGACTAGCCACGCTCATACTTAATGACACACCGTCTTTCGAAAAACAGCACTTAAAAGGTGAACGAGTACGAATCTAAGATGCAGTATCTTATGAAAATAAGTGTCATTACGCTCTAGAACGAGGATGCATTGTTGCAAATGCAGAGATGGCTTCCATAAAATAAACAAGTAGAATTTATACAAAATTTTAAGGATAATATATTTTATGGAATAATAACAGGCTGCGAGAATCAACTGAAACATTAACGTATTCTATGGGTAAAAAGCAGAGTTACTGATTATTAAAGGAGATTTGGGGGAGTACATATAGTTACTACTGGATTTTAAAGGATTAACAAAATAAATGGAAAATAATTTGTCTCTCTTCAATGTAATATCTGTATTACTGATTAATTCTGTTACCAACAATAAATAAACATCGAAACCAATATCCACCAAAAATCACGAAGATCGCATTTCGAATACATGTTTACTGAAGTACGTACGTAATTATCTTTACAATTCTTTTCATTTCGCAGCGAAATTTATTACTGCGAGTTGCGGGTACCTGACCGTTGCATTAAGTCAGTCGTGACTTTACGCAGCTCCAGCCGACAGAGCAGATAAAACGTTAATCGCGACTTTTCAGCGAGATAAAAACCAAATGACATTACTCGGATAAATAATTCCCACTTCAGCCAGAATTTTATTCACCCTGAAAGTAAGGAACCGCAGCCATGCAATCAATCATGTGTTGCGAAGGAAGCAGTTGCCATGGCTACAACAGAGCGAGACAAAACACCGTTGGAGAGCAAAGCGGTTGTGCTTCACATCCGCGATGAAGCCCTATTATGAAAACACTGTGACGAGGTAGTGAGAAATAACATGAAAATTAACGTTGGACAGCCGACTCCAAGACTCGGCTAGAGAACCTTAGAAATGTCATCCCACACATAATTATGGGATTCGCCCAATTACGTGTTCACCTCAGCCTCAAATCATGCTGATAACAACAATAACCAAATAGAAAATGAAGATGGCTGTCTTCTGGGTTCTTGCGCCGCGTAGTCTAGTTGAAGTATTCCGATGTTTCAGAGTCGCCTGCTGCCAGACTACTCGGCACAACAACAACCCAGAAGATAGCCATCTTCATACTCGCCACCGTGGGAAACCGAAACCTCAAACAGCAAACTCTTTCCTTCACTTTGGCATTGTACGCGTAGGTAGAAGCACAATATCAAATTGCATTCAAGGGAAATTGTGTTTGGGGATATGGATTGGATTCATCTGGCTCATGATAGGGACCAGCGGCGGGCTCTTGTAAACTCGGTAATGAATCATCGGGTTCCATACAGTGTGGGAAATTTCTTGACTGGCTGAGCGTGCAATTAGCTTTTCAAGAAGACTGTGTTCCATGGAGTTAATTAGTATATATACACACATAGCCTATTAAAAATAACCCCTTAAAGTCGAAGATTCCTTAACGACGTAACCATATTGGTGATTATATTCTCTAAGTAAATGTTATACGCAAATATTGTATACTGTAGTCTCTTATGTAAATAACTTACTTAATGGAACACGCTCAAGAATATACTCAGGCCTTTAAGTGGCATGGCTCTTAAAACGAATTAAAAAGTGAAATTCGCATAAACCTATCGTAACACTCGTAGAAGTGATGTAAATCACGATTTATCAAATGTGTCTACGGACTCAAAAGACACCTATATATAACGGTTAATGCTAACACTACTCTTAAGTAAAGAAGCCTACGGAAGCAATAACAATTTTTAAGCATGACATACACACGTAATATACAATATGTGTTCTCCTAGTTCAGAAACATGTTTAATATTATTTGAATGAATAAGGGAGATGTAATATATTTTCTCAGATGTAGGACATTTTTCGTTACAAACATGTTTCAGAAGCTGGTTCTGCTTCAGTCATCAGGTAAAAGCATGAAAACTGATTTGTTTGGTCTCTGGTCAGAGAAAAATATATATCAGCGTCATATAATGTATGTTCCAGCCCTTTACCTGATGACGAGAGCAGAAGCAGTTTAAAAAACGTCGTGCTTTCTAATAAGAAAAAAATTGATAAATATTCAAACCATGTTGGTTTACAGGCTATAATGGTTTAAGACTAACCTAACGACTGTTCTGAGGAGCGTGGATCTCGCTTCGTTGTGGTACGTGATGATGACGCTCGTCGCCGGAAGGTCCGTCCTCCATTTTCGTTTCCGGCACCTGAAATAAGAGTGACAAGAATTTCAATTACGTAAGAAGGCGAATCTCACAGATTTATATCATTCTGCAACTAAAACTGAAAACAAGGAACAAAACTGCCGTAAATGGCACTCACTGAACTCACGGCCCGCTGCCAGAGAACTTGTTGGTTAAAAAACAAAGTCCGGCAAATTCATTTACAAACTAACAATTTCGACATGAAACTTTCTGGCCTATAAAACACAAATATTGCTCTGTCGAGAAACATGTTCAGACTGCTGGCTCCAGTAAAAAGAAGAAATCGGAATTACTTTAATGTAACACGGTTCGGAAAACTCCATAATCGAAGTCCACTGATCCCGACAGGGCACGTGAGAGCAAAATAAAGAGGGTCATCAACTACTTTGCCAAGGAAACAAATAGAAAGTGTCACGCGGAAGAACAAGTAAAGGAAGGGCAGAACGAAGGAAGAAAAGCCGCTGTGCCCGTTACTACTTTCAATTTACATGGAAGATACGGGTTGCACAATAAAAGTTGTCGAACACATTCCATTATTCATTTTGGCCCATATGGGTATATCATTGCCTCTACCTTACATGAAGCTCAAAACCGAAATTCGTCTTATTGTTATTTAAAAATTCAATTTTTACCGCACAGAAAACATAACCTTTCTCAAATAAAAGAAAACAGTTGGCCAATTCTGTTCAAGGAAATACCAGTAATTACTGTTTAGAAAGGTGGCTTGCATCTCAATCGGTTTAAAAAGTGAATTGCAAGAACCTTCGCTTCTGATGTAAAGAGAGAAGATGCAAGCAGCGAAAGTGTAACGTCGAAATAATCCAATTCAGGGGATACATAACCTTAGCTTTTGGGCTGACGGCACTGGTTTATGACTAGCCACGCTCATACTTAATGACACACCGTCTTTCGAAAAACAGCACTTAAAAGGTGAACGAGTACGAATCTAAGATGCAGTATCTTATGAAAATAAGTGTCATTACGCTCTAGAACGAGGATGCATTGTTGCAAATGCAGAGATGGCTTCCATAAAATAAACAAGTAGAATTTATACAAAATTTTAAGGATAATATATTTTATGGAATAATAACAGGCTGCGAGAATCAACTGAAACATTAACGTATTCTATGGGTAAAAAGCAGAGTTACTGATTATTAAAGGAGATTTGGGGGAGTACATATAGTTACTACTGGATTTTAAAGGATTAACAAAATAAATGGAAAATAATTTGTCTCTCTTCAATGTAATATCTGTATTACTGATTAATTCTGTTACCAACAATAAATAAACATCGAAACCAATATCCACCAAAAATCACGAAGATCGCATTTCGAATACATGTTTACTGAAGTACGTACGTAATTATCTTTACAATTCTTTTCATTTCGCAGCGAAATTTATTACTGCGAGTTGCGGGTACCTGACCGTTGCATTAAGTCAGTCGTGACTTTACGCAGCTCCAGCCGACAGAGCAGATAAAACGTTAATCGCGACTTTTCAGCGAGATAAAAACCAAATGACATTACTCGGATAAATAATTCCCACTTCAGCCAGAATTTTATTCACCCTGAAAGTAAGGAACCGCAGCCATGCAATCAATCATGTGTTGCGAAGGAAGCAGTTGCCATGGCTACAACAGAGCGAGACAAAACACCGTTGGAGAGCAAAGCGGTTGTGCTTCACATCCGCGATGAAGCCCTATTATGAAAACACTGTGACGAGGTAGTGAGAAATAACATGAAAATTAACGTTGGACAGCCGACTCCAAGACTCGGCTAGAGAACCTTAGAAATGTCATCCCACACATAATTATGGGATTCGCCCAATTACGTGTTCACCTCAGCCTCAAATCATGCTGATAACAACAATAACCAAATAGAAAATGAAGATGGCTGTCTTCTGGGTTCTTGCGCCGCGTAGTCTAGTTGAAGTATTCCGATGTTTCAGAGTCGCCTGCTGCCAGACTACTCGGCACAACAACAACCCAGAAGATAGCCATCTTCATACTCGCCACCGTGGGAAACCGAAACCTCAAACAGCAAACTCTTTCCTTCACTTTGGCATTGTACGCGTAGGTAGAAGCACAATATCAAATTGCATTCAAGGGAAATTGTGTTTGGGGATATGGATTGGATTCATCTGGCTCATGATAGGGACCAGCGGCGGGCTCTTGTAAACTCGGTAATGAATCATCGGGTTCCATACAGTGTGGGAAATTTCTTGACTGGCTGAGCGTGCAATTAGCTTTTCAAGAAGACTGTGTTCCATGGAGTTAATTAGTATATATACACACATAGCCTATTAAAAATAACCCCTTAAAGTCGAAGATTCCTTAACGACGTAACCATATTGGTGATTATATTCTCTAAGTAAATGTTATACGCAAATATTGTATACTGTAGTCTCTTATGTAAATAACTTACTTAATGGAACACGCTCAAGAATATACTCAGGCCTTTAAGTGGCATGGCTCTTAAAACGAATTAAAAAGTGAAATTCGCATAAACCTATCGTAACACTCGTAGAAGTGATGTAAATCACGATTTATCAAATGTGTCTACGGACTCAAAAGACACCTATATATAACGGTTAATGCTAACACTACTCTTAAGTAAAGAAGCCTACGGAAGCAATAACAATTTTTAAGCATGACATACACACGTAATATACAATATGTGTTCTCCTAGTTCAGAAACATGTTTAATATTATTTGAATGAATAAGGGAGATGTAATATATTTTCTCAGATGTAGGAATAAAATGTTTAAATACTGAAAAAAAAAATATATATATATATATATATATATTCGTTTCACCCCTCGAAACTTAATATGAAAGAACAGGGCGAGACGAGATCGCTTCGAACTTTACTAATTCTCCGTATTACCGCGCATAACAGCTTTCGAACAAAATCCTCCTGTGGTGGAAACAGGTTTCCAATAAATCCTATTATTACGGAACGCCGGTTGTCTGCAATGCGCTACACGCACGTGTCAGGTCGGTTGCCCGCCAGCCAGGCGACTATCACGTACCTCAGGGAATCTCACCCGTTTACCGCGGTCTTTTCACTTTTTTTGTGGCGTACTTAACTGGATACACAAAGTTAAATGTGAAATGTGTCGGGAATTATGCACAGCGTCATGGAATCAGCGAACGCTGTAGTCCTGGAATGCAATCTTAGATATTGAACCCCCAATTTCGGAATACCGCCATGGGATGACTACTACTAAGCTCACTGAATACAGTCCTTCTTTACAAGCAAATAGTAGCTCAACTGTTCAATAAGACCTCTTTCTATGGAAACCAAAGGCTCATTACAATGTTCACAATACCACGATTTAGTTCCTAACCCGAGAAAGACAAATCCAATCGAAACCCCCGCACCCTATTACTTTTCAAGATAAAAATAAAGGTCTCTCAAGCGATTTATTCCCTTAAGAGTTTTCATCAGATCTGCGTGTGCATCTCTAATGCGTGCTACATGCCCACCCATCTCATTAATCTTCAATCGATCACCCTAATAATATCTGGTGAAGATTTAAAACTGAGAAACTCCTGAAGTTTACCGACGTTTCAGAGATTCTTACTTCCTCCATCATCATGAAGGCCTTAATGGAGGCAATAATCACATCTGAAACGTCGTTAAACTTATACAGGCTACACGGCGCAATATCCCAGATGACAGTCACCTTCATATCCGCCACCGTGAGAACCTTAAATCTCACCAATGAAACTAAAACATTTGTAAAAAGAGAATGGCAATGGAGTACCTAACGAGCTTGGCGGTGTTGACAGGCCAGCGAAAGTGATTTTAACAAAAGAAGGAGGAGGAGGAATACGCCGGCTGTTGGAACGAGTGGTTTAAAACCCACTAGACCGTTACAGGACATGGTCAGTGTTGGCTGGACGATTAGGATTCAAATAAAACAAACATGTGACAGAAAACACTACAGCTGTTGCAGTTCAAAGCGGATCCTGGACATAATGTATACTGCAAACATATGAAGTATACACGGAAATTCATACTATACGTACATATAAATCTGATTATCTTTCCGTCACTTTGAGTTTAAAGTCAGGTTGATTTTTTCAACGTCCATGTAACATCACAATCAACTGAAATAAGACTATGTGATGTGCACCTCAAACATATGTGACCTACATGTTTCGAGAGGATGTGTGTGAAATTACAGACATTATTCAGAATCAACCTGAGAACGCAATCGTACTCCTTGAAATGGATAACAGAGCGCCGCTGGCTTTCTACCATCACAACACGGAGAAACTCGGTGCAAAAATAAACTGGATTGTAGTGAACTGTTTTATGGAGCACTCTGCGATACACTTGGCAATAATTCAGCACCTGCATGTATTGGATGAGGTCAGAATATCAGGGCAAGTCTCTCGTCTGTCCTAGTAATGACAAATCACCATAGCAATGTCTTTCGCTTCTACCAGTAACCCTTCCGGCGCCAAGTACGCGAAACTTGTTTTGAATACCCTCAGAGTTAATCTCCTGTCGTCTGTTGAGAGACTTTGGCTTTTGACCAATGGGAATTGTCGTGAAAGACACAAAAACACAGAACCGATCAGGCGCGTGTCAATGTTAACAAAACTCGATACATAATATTTTTACCGAACGTCTCGGTCACATGATTAGCATTTCTGCTTCGCGTTGAAATTTAGGGTCAAGATCAGCTAACCTGACTCCGATTTTTCGAGGCTTTCCTCAGTCCTCCAGGCAAATTCCGGGGCAGGAACTTGAATTAGGCCACGACCAATGCATATTATAACCTAATGTTTTCGAGAAAATCATTAGTATAGGCCCTAACTAACAAGACTGGAAAAGTGTAATCCGTATCGGAATACAGTTTTCACATGCGTTCTTTGCAAATTACGAATTTTGAATGCTCCTAGCGTTGCCATTAATATCGCCCACACAATCGTAACAACAGATTGCAGGCGACGTAAAAACATAATCATATCTCTTCAACATAAGATTCA